GTATGCGGAGTTCATCTGAAAAAAATTCATCTGATGGTAAATCAACTATATTCACTTGAAACTACTCTAATGTAGACATATTTTGTAAAAATTTATCAAATTGTACACACTTAGGTATGTATATAAAAAGATCAACAAACGATATTTTCTTCATACTTCTAAAAAATGTTAAAAACGAACACAAAAGAATTACAAGCCCAAAGCCAATATTGCAGCTGATCATCAATAAATGTTTTTTACGCAAATAAAGACAAGCCTTCTATGAAAACAAAAAAAGGTAAAAGAGGATGAGAATGTTACAGTTTATTGTGAGGACTACGAAATAATACCAGATTTTTCTCATTTCACACAAAAAAAATATCCAATATCATTGATAGAGACAAGGAACCATATCTTATTTTTGCTGCAACTGTAATCAATAACTGATGGTATTATTACTAAAGCTGGAAAATGTGATATTAGTGTTTTATTATCCTCAGAATTATCCTCTACCTAACCATCCTCGCTTGATGGACATCATTATGACATAATAATAATAATAAAGCATTCCTATTTCTGATAGGATGATATAGCAAATCTGTTTTAACATATCCTAATGGCTTTATGTTGATGCGAAAATTACTGAGATGCGGATATTTCTCCAGTTCTTTATAAATCCTCTTTCCCACAAGGAGAAGGGAACTGCGGCGCCAAAATCAAATTATCTTGGGTATTCCTCCCTTGATGTTTCAACACAATCCGTTTGTTACATTTGACGTAATCCTGATCACAAGCAGATAAAAATGAAACTAACCAAAGATTTATAAAGGCAATTACATATTACCTCTTGTCTTCGCCGATGATATAAATAATACGCATAATTAAAAGCTATTATCTAGCCTATTTTCAAAATGTATAATTCAGCGTCCTCGAGACGGCCTTGCAATCAGCAAGAAACTTCAATGAACAAAATATATTAGATTTTCATTCATAAAGGCGAGGTTCAACTGACCTTGTCTTCGCCTAGGACCTGCCTTGTGTCCGAATCCCATGCCTGGAGTGGTGTTTCAACTGTCGAAAAAGCACCAGCAGACCAGACCGCACACCGCGCCAAGTATTTCTCGTTTGAGCAGCATGGAATACAAGGATTGATTCTGCTTTCGCCCTAGTTTCGTGTTTCATGGCGTGTATTGCCGATTTACGATGGGCCGGCGACTCGAGTACTGATCCTCGGTTTCAAATTAGCCAACGTGAACTAATGTGAACTTCGACTCAACCTCTCAATGCCTTAGAACACTTTCAGTAGTTTTTAAACATCTCTCCTACATCTTACAGGTTGAAGCACACACACATATAGATATAGATTTATATGTATATACATAGGAACATATGTGAACTTAGGGCGTCTTCTGGACGTGCCATAAAAGTTAATCCAGTAATAAAGTTTAATCCAGATCCCTAGTGCGCAGGATCAACTTTTAATGCCCCTCTAGACCAGGCTTTAATATTAAGCTCATTTTTTAATCCTGCACATGCGCAGAAGGGACACGTTAATCCCACCAATCATGTACTGTTACGTCACGTGTCCGTCATGAACTTCATCGGTGCCATCGCCTGAGTTGCCATTCAGAGTTATTTTCGGCAATAACATCGATCGTCTTAGAATTTCCATACGTAGTATTTATTATGAAAATGAAATTGTATATATTTACACAAATGATCAAATCCTCTGATAAAGGAAATAACTTATGGTAATGAATATAAAAACCAATATAATCCCACGAGGAATCTTTGAAGTTCAGAGGCTGCGGGCATGGAACTCATATTTCCAGGTTAGTGAAACAAAAATTATATACTCAGGGTCACACAAATTGACGTTTTAAATCAAATATGAGCCAGTGTTTTAAAGAAGAATTATGTACTGAATTTTTCTCAACTACTTTACAACAAAATTAACAAGTATACTTTTCTATGGACCTCCTGAACAGCATCCTGAAGAAAACATGTTTCCCTCCAACACGATTCAACGCAGCAAAGAGCTGTCCGAGGAAACTGCGCGATGGATATTAATTGATGAATGTCATTTTTGTACTTGAGTGTCATTGAAATAAAGATTGGTTTTATAGTTGTTAGAGCAGTTTCGTTACCCATTTTACTACTATAGATATAAGATCGTCATCATGAAAAAATAGAATATTTCATAAATAATCATGTTTCCCTTATAAGTAGGCCTACTTGTGCTTCGTAATCATCATATGAAGATCAAACTGCATCTTGAGTGACTGACAATAACTTTCTATAACAATCACCTTTTCTCCAATCTATAATAAATGAATATCAGTTGTCAGAAAAATCTTTTAACAATGCAGTGTCTGAATGAAAATTTCAAGGTTTATTTATCCAAATTAATTTTATAATCTGACTGCAAATCTTTAGGTAATATCTTTAATACTGTCTTCTATATCATATGCGTAGGGACATGAAGGGTGAATGTTGAATAGATATCTTTTGGATGATTTTGTTGCTTATTTACAGGTATGAGTGCATGACTTGCTCCAAACGCTGCCCTACACAACATGCAACAGTTATGTGTGAAGAGAACATTGCACAGAAATGTTTCAAAATACCACAGATTGTTCAGCAATAAAAAGACAACATACCTCAAAATTAAAAACATTAGTAAGAGTCTCAGTTTCATGAAATACACATTAGATATAATAGATATTTTGAAACCTAAGAAATGTCTTAAATAGTTTCTTAAACATGATTACCAAAAAACATGACATTACAAAAAGAAAGAAAGAAAAATAAAACATGAAATCTCCCAAAAGAGCGAATTCTCTTCTCTCCGACATGTTTACATTATAACGGTGGTGATAGAATAGTGAGTACGACAGTTTTTACCGAACATTATTGTCGCGCCGTCTGGCAGCGGAGAGTGTCGTCTTCGGTCTCTACACGGTGGATTAGGATTAAACTAAAGACGGTTTTAAGAGTTAAGGACGCTACAGAAGACGCCCTTAGTATCGTGTTTATACCAAAGTAAACAATTCAATTCATTATATATATATATATATATATATATATATATATATGTGTGTGTGTGTGTGTGTGTGTGTGTGTGTGTGTGTGTGTGTGTGTGTGTGTGTGTATGTGTGTGTGTGATATATATATATACATACATACACATATGTGTATATGTATATATGTGCGCATATATATACATATGTAAATATATACATATATGCATATATGTGCATACATATATATGTCTGTATATATATATATAATATATATATATATATATTAATATAAATATATATATATATATATATAATATATATATATATAGAGTCCATATAATATGTGTGTATATATGTACATATACGCAAATAATATATATATATATATATATATATATATATATATATATACGTATATACATATGTATATGTATATATATATATATATATATATATTATATATATATATATTTATTTATATATATGAAAACACATATAAATCCATATATATATATTATATATATATATATATATTATATATATATATGTATGTATGTATGCATATGTATCTATGTGTATATGTATATACAGTATATTTGCTCATATGGTGTATATATGAACATAAAAAAAAACTAAATACTGCTTCCTCTGGCAAATATTGGCAAGTTTCTTATAGATTTTTAGATGCCAAGAAGAAAGTCCTGTTTTCAGACGAGAAATGTTGCCAATGAGACAAAACCGTGACACCCAAAATCCACCGATCACGCAATTTGTAAATCACACAGAGCGAAATACATGGTTATGTAGATAGATAGGCTAGGAGCGGTTGGGTGTTTTCGCTGAATTTGCTTACCCAAAAGATACCGAAGGATAAGAGATCGCTAGTTGCCATTCAGTGCAGACAGTCGACACCAGCGTGACAAGAAATGGATCGGTTGATTACGAGCACCATTTAAGAAAAATATATTCACGATCAGTAAGACATATCTAATAAGATTTAGCATATAAGACATATCTAATAAGATTTAGTATATATCAAAATAGTTGCAGCACAAAACACAAGAGTCAATACATTTATATATTCAACCAACATAATACATATTAAAAAAATGGACAGTGTTTATCGTACTTGTAAATCTTCAAGATCCAGGTAATTTGCAAGGGCTTGTATGATATCACCCGCTAAGTCCATGTCATCTGTCTTAATCACTATATCGCACACAGAAGTTTTAATTTAATCTCATTTTCATATATATATATTTTCTCTCTGACAGCCACGCACGAACCGAAGCTGGATGTTGGTCTTCGAGTTTCTGGTCCGTGCTCACGAAATGTGTTCGTAGGAAAAAAAATATTTCCGTAGCCCTTATTCACCATTCGATTCGGCTGAAGGCAAAAGCCCTTGACTTAACATCGGTTTTCGATATATCGCAAAAATCGTCACAGATAAATCCCGCTAATGGGAACCCCGAACGCACTTCCCATCAATAATTAAAGCCAGCTTCCCTCTCCAAACCACAGCCTGACTGCTTCGATCCCGCCACGACACTTGAGCCAGCTGTGGTAAGCGACACATGACGGGAGTCGCGCTATCGAGTGATTCCCCAAATCGCTTTTTCATTCCCACAGTGTCGGTTACCCTGCTTCGTCCCCTCCTTCCTCGCTCAAGCACACGCGCCTGAGGTACGTCGATAAGTATTTTGTTTGAAAGGGAATATGTGGATTTAGGCCAATAAATAAATTGAAACGGGTAAATGCATCCATCTCGGTAAACAAAACAGTATGTCGCAGCATATATAAACTCGAGTACATATCGAATTTTGTAATTCGAGACACTTTTATTACTCGCGAGAAAAGAATATGCCATCTCACTGTTGCTGTTTGATAACAATCTCTTGACAATTACATAATTATCTGAATTCATATCATGCAGAAAGACATATTGCGAAAACAACCGTCGTCTGAACGTAAACTTCGCAACACATCAGCTGATTACCG